TTTATTACTTTTTACCTATTGTCACAACTTTACTGTTTCTTATTAAATACAACTTAGAAATACAATCTTGATCTGATTTTTACATACAGTACATACTGTACATACATACATATATAATTTCAGGTATTTTAACGAATGGTTATATGTAAGGCTGTCATTTTACAATGCACATTTTAATTTGTTTACACAGGATTATTATAATGCATTTATTAACAATTAAAAATGCTATGGGGCAGCTCAGTGGGGCAGTCGGTAGCATAATCGCCTAACAGCAAGAAGGTAGCTGGTTCGAGCCCATGCTGGATCAGTTGGCAGTTCTGTGTGGAGTTTGCATGTTCTCCCTTTGTTCATGTGGGTTACCTCAGGATGCTCCGGTTTCCCCTACAAGTCCAAAAACATGTGGTACAGGTGAATTGGGTAAGCTAAATTGTCTGTAGTGTATGTGTGTGAATGAGTGTGTATGGATGTTTCCCAGTAATGAGTTGCAGATGGAAGGGCATCCGCTGTGTAAAACATGTGCTGAATAAGTTGGTGGTTTATTCCGCTGTGGTGACCCCTGATTAATAAAGAAAGATATATATATATATATATATATATATATATATATATATATATATATATATATATATATATATATATATATATATATATATATATATACAATTGTGCTGTCCTCGCTATATGTGCTGAATATAACTTTACAGCCAGATAAACTCTTCCTTGACATCAAATCTCTGAAGACGATAACTCCTTGTCCACAGGTTTATTGATATTCCAAAGAAAGGTAAAACTGAAATGCACAAAAGGCATAATCAACACTAAGCATGTTGTTGTTAAGATGTATACATTCGCAAAGAAGTACATAAATGAATGTCTTCAAGGCTTTATGTGTTTTCTCTTAAACACACATTCTCTTAAATGTAATATACTGATGTAAACACACACACAATTCTTAAATCACTTTTTAACTATACTGAATTGCATGAACTTTCAATGAACTAGACAAAGATTACACTCACTATGTCCCTTAACCATAGTGAAGCAGACAGAAAATAATAGACTTCTAATAATAACTATATAAAAATGACCTAAAGCATCTGAAATAATAGACATTGATTAAAACAGTCAATACATACCCACGATGCTAAAACAAACACAAGATGAATGCAAACGTCACAGAATTAACTCAGGATTGTCTGACTGTGCTGCTCTGTGCAACATGCTTGCTCACTTCCTCATCAGTGCTCACATGGTATGACTCTGTTCTGAAACCTAAGATTCTTAAAGGGGCCACGTCGTAATAATGAAAAACATACATATTCACTCCAGAATAGAAAATAAGTCTACCAAACATTGTGATAACAACACAACAATAGATGTATGAAAATGAATATAATGTATTAATTTTAATGGTTAATATTAGCTCTGGTCTGTTATATAATGTTATAATAGCTTTTTTGATAATGTTATTAAAATTTAAAAATATTATAATTATTTAATGCCTTAGAAGTATTTAAATTTTTTGTTAATGAAAACTAAATCAAACCATATTTAAATGAGGTGTTTTTGTATTCATTTTGTATAGCTTTCAAATATGGTCTCGGCTATGTGTTTGAGGTCTTAGAATATATTGTAATTAAATTTTACAATTACGAGCATATAGTATATCTTGCTATATGATTATTATCTGTCTAACGACTACATTTAATTTACTAAAGATAAACAATGTCCTAAACAGCATTTGGATTAAATTTGTAGACTGAGAGCACGGTCAAGATATGTACACCAGTAGATTTGAAGTTACCTTTTTAGAGTAAGTAAAAATGGAGAAAGATCTATTCTCATTGGCTTTTAGTGTGATTATGAGCTCATCTTGACCCTGTGTAAGAACTGTGACAGCTCTCAGTCTGACTGAGAAGAGGAAGTGCCATCTCTGGGCTTTGTCACATGCTTATAATCACATCCAGCAGATATTGCTCACCATTTTTGTGTTGCTCCTCTCACAAATATGCTCTATACAAGCTCCATGAATAATTCAAGTTGAATTTAGTTAATGAGTCTTAATCTGTAAATGAGACTGACCCCCCTCCGCTCCCTCAAAAGAATGAAAGGGGGTTTGGGGCCACAATCTAATTGGCAAAATACTCAACGGAACCGCCTAATTACCATATTCACAACCTAAAATAATAGAACTAATTAGGGCTTATCAAAGCCCAGAACTGGGCAAGATTTTGTCATTTGTGAATGAATTATGCATCCACTGTTTTTAAATGAAAACAAAACTGCATGGTACTGTATAAAGACCTGAGATGGACAAGCTTGTTTTGCTTTCACTCAGCACCTGACAAGTAAACAACATTCTCTGTTGTTTGTTTATATGCTGTACACATCTTTATTTGTGTCGACAGCGCAGTCTAAAGCAGTCTGTGTTTTCACTGCAGTACAGAAGCATAATCCTCTTCTGCCCGATCTGTCATTGATCTGTATTTATGTTTCCATATAAATCCACAGCCATTGGGGGGAGTGGGATCAGCCAGGCTTTGAGACAAACAAGGCTGACTGACATCAAAAAAAAATTGAAAATAAATACAAAATACATACATACATACAAACATACATACATACGTAGTGTGTAGCATAAATGAGTACACCTTCACACACAAAAAATATTTTACCCATTTAAAATGGTTATATCCATTTTATAACCAATATATATATTTTTTAATAACCAGTTATATTCATTAAAATACGAATTTGGTCATCAAACATCTTTAGGAATAGAAATATAATACCTTTATATTCAAATTAAAAATGACAAACTTCCGAAGTTTTTCAGAAGCTAAATTTTAATATTAATTGTTTTTGTTTTCCTTGATTTTTCCTGTTCATTTTATTTATTTATTTTTTTGTGTGTAAATTTTCCCAACATATTAATTTGAGTAAACAAATTTTCTTGGACTGTGATCTTAAAGGGAACCTATTTTACCTCTTTTATAAGATGTTAGATAAGACTTCTGTGTCTCCAGAACTTGTCTGTGAAGTTTTAGCTCAAAACACCCATCGGATTATTTATTATATAATGTTGAATCTGCTTATTTAAGTGTCTGAAAACTTTGTAGCTGTTTTTGTAGCCTGTGGCTTTAAATCCAAATAAGCTGCTTCTCCGAGCCTCATGGGTTACATCAGAAAAACAGCTGTCAACGATAGAGACAGACTCGGATGAAGCTGGAATACAGCTCATCAGACAAAAATACCAAGTAAGTTAATTTGATGTATTTGTGGTGGTTTATTCAAGCCTTTCTGAAATGATGAGTTTTACACAAATGCCATTTGCAGTACACACACACACACACACACACACACACACACCCACACACACACACAAACACACACACACACATTAATGATTATAGAAGTTGGTGATGAAAGAGGTGATTATAGAAGTTAAGAATTGTTGCAATTTGACACTCTATTAAAAACATAACATAAAAACGTATTGAGGTGCAAATGATGACAGAAAGTTGTAACATATGTTTGAATTCCAGTTTCTTTGCAAAAAATGTTCTGTAGACATGTGTATACATGTTATTATGGAGACATGGCACCTGTCAATCAATTCGGTGGGTGGGAAAAACTACACTCCTACGCCACAGGGATTCCAAATCATGGGAATTTGGATCCTATTTTAACGTCAGTTAATAAAAAAAAGAGAGACTTATGTTTCTATCACTTCAATATGACAGTGGACTATATCTACACACAGTTCTGCCCAAACAGCTTCCAAAAGTTGATTCAAAGGACATTAGGTGCCCTTTAATTGTTTTTATTTTAAATGAGTTCCAATTTTGGTTTTGGTACCAACTCATGTACAGTATATGCACAAATATATTATTGTAAAGCATCCTATAGAAAATATTCATCTAAACGAGAGATCTGTGAGGGGTGTACTCATTTATGTTGAGCAATATATGAAGAGTTCAGATGCAAAAACCTCTAAATGCCGTCAGAAATTTCCATTGAAAATGAAACATTTTTTTCAGCATCTGTTGTTTATGTTGAGATATTTCACATTAAACATCAGGAAAATGACTTATTCTTTGCCATAAAGGTAATATTACGGAACATAAACACAGGAGCATGATAAAAAATGCTCATTTTAGAGGAAATATTCAGACGGCACTTAGAGTTTAGGTTTTTGCTTCTAAAGTCTTCATATATACTATAATGGCTGTCAGTGTTTTACAAAATAACTTTGCATGTGATTCATCTGAAAGGTTAATACATCTATATTTCTTTTACACAAATCAATCATTTAAGATGCCAGTTTCTAGTTGGATGTTCATGTGTACATTTTTTCTCATTTAGACTTTATTTGGTATCTATTTCTCTCGTCCATCTCCTCATTTTAACAGTATATTTACATTTAAACTCTATGCTTTTATTTTTAATTAATCTAGATTTATAAGAGACCATATCTTCCATAGTTAACAAGTATTATATATATATATATATATATATATATATATATATATATATATATATATATATATATATATATATATATATATATATATATTGATAGGGGGTTATGGTTAATATATATTTGTGTGTGTGTGTGTGTGTGCACTGAAAAAAATGTTATGTTGAATTTACTTAATTTTATTACGTCAAGGGGTTGCACAAAATAATTTTATCTAAATCCAGATATATTTTTTAAGTTAAGTGAATTTATATTTTTTAAGTTGAGTTTACTTATATTTTATAAAGTGGTTCTACTTATATTTTATACATTGAGTTTATTAATCTCTTTCAGTAATTTCAGATTAATTATATTCATAATTTTAGCTAAACTATTTTCAGTAGAATTAACTCAAATTACTTGTGCAACCAGATCAATTTAATCGTTTAATTTCTACATATTAAAATTAATTTTAATCCAATATTTTTTTTTTAATCTATTGTATCTTTCATTAATATTTAGACAAATAAAGCAAACCCAATATTTTCAACTCTAACTTTATTTTTGTGATCCAAGAGATATTTTTGCTCTCTCAAAGAATGGCAGTAATGTAACTCAGTAATCATTTCTCAAATTGTTTTCTTATAACAAAATGCAGTATATCATCCACTAACATAAAATACATTGTACCATTCGTAACAAAACAAGTGCACCAGATTAGCTGGAAGACAGCGAACACTGAATAACTTGCATGAGATTATATTTAACTGCAAACTTACATTGAGTCAATATTCCAAAACATCATTAGTGCAGCTTTAAATATTCACAATAGTGGCTGTATACATACACACACAGGAGAACTTTGGAGGGAAGCCTTTTAACACACAACAAAACATATACAAGTAACAAAATACACCAGTACTATACAGAACAAAAAATGCTATAGTACAAGAACTGTCCACAGCTGCAACACAGTGCACACTGAGGACCTGATGCTGAAATTACAAAAAACTGTAGTTACATTAAAAAAATACTAATTAAAAAAAAGATTGTTATATAACAAAATAGATTTTATGTTTGGCTGAGGTGAAAAAGTTGGTGTATAAATATGGAAACAGACTTACTAAATAAAATGAAACGTGACTTAAATGTCCACTGAAGCTTAAGCTACTCTAAAAAAAATAAAAATAGTGTCAAATGAAAACATCACATCTGTGTGAAGCAATGAGGAGGCTGTAACATTCTCACATGAAACTAACAAGAATTGTCATAATTTCATGTTTTACACATGGTTCCCCATTGTTTGAACTTTGACTGGAGCTCTTTTAATGACGTCATCTCATTGTGTCCTCTTCTTATGCAATGCCTTAATGGTGCAGACATCATCAACTGTTTATCTCAAAGCGCTTAACTTCTAAAATTCATATGGCGTTAATGGATGGATGGATACTTTTTGTGCTGAGTGTGGATAGAAACCTGGCCTATTTACAGGATTGCAATTTTTATTTCAGGTGAATATTCCACTAAATCCAATGACAACTTTAAATGTTCACACCAGTGGCTATGTATTACAGTCCACCACTCACTTTGTTTTCAGTTTGAAACATTTTCTAGGGCTGCATTTTACATCATACTATATGTTTTCTATCGCCTCCCAAACCAGATTTAAAAATGCAGCTTAGCAGCGTTTACATGAGCGGCTGAAGAAATCCTACAGTCCAGCAATGATTTTGTTCTTTAGTCCAAGGACTTTGGGGGAAAGTCTTTCTCCATCCATTTTCAAGAGCACATTTTGAATGAATTCATAAGAGTATTTCAGCTCTTTGGGGTAGGCCAAGTTCACTACATAGATGACTCCCAGCATCATTGCAGATGCTTGGGCTACAGATCCAATGTTGTCCAGAATGATTTCTCCTTCAACATAAATGTCATCATGTGCTCCAATTTCTCCACCCTCCTTGTTGATGACATATACGCCCATGGTGGAATTCTGCAGGTCTCTCTGGATGCCATCTCCTTCAATGTCCTGTATATTTGTAGAATATAAGAAAAACATGAATTTATGTAATAGATTTTAATGACCTGCAAATTCTAAATTTCTTTATATTTACAATACATAATTACACTGGTCAGTAAAACCATTGAAAATATTTTTGTCAGTTAAGTAAAGGTTCATGTGAATTAACAAACCAACAATGCATGAAATATAAACAAATGTACAGTGATTTAGAATAAATAATTGTGTAAGGTTATTTACAATGTGTCAGATCATATTATATGGCGATTTATTATAAACTGTTTGTGAAATCAGAAACAGAAAAATTTCTTCGCAATGCAGTCCACAAGCCTACTACTACTAAGTACATTGTGAGATATTATAACTGAGTCAACAAGTCAAGAATTTGTTAATTTAATTAAAATTAATTAATTATTTATTCTGTCTTCATGCCATATCACTAACTCTATTAGTATTTGGATTTGTCATGTTCCACTTCTATACTAAAAGTATTAGTTTAAAATTTGGGAGCAATAAATGCAATGCCAACATAATTGGTCTTTGTGTTTAACGTTAGAGCAGAAACAAAGTTGAACAACATCAACCTGCTAGCTAAACCCTGGTCTTTCACTGGACTATCGGCTGTGGTCGTACTAGCTGGTCCTCTCGTGTCATCTGCAAATCTCCTGCAATTTAGTTATGAAACATTTGAATGCTTCTACTACATCTACTTTCACCCCCACCTTTACGTTTTAAACTCTGATAAGTCGAGTCGGAGACAGTCCACGAGGACTGCGACCCATGCAGCTGCCACGAAAGAGAAGCTTGTTTACTTTTCCTACGCGCATTCCGCGAAGACCTGCCTCTGATTGGCTAGTGTTCGTTGCAATCGTTGGTTAGGTCAAAGAAGCTCTTTGGTTAGGTTTGCGCAAGTGGAGCGACGTCACGATCGGTCGGAGCCAGTCAGCTTCAGAGCAGGGGCGGGTCTACGGGTGTAAAAAAAATACAAACTTTTAAAGAAACGATAAATTCAGGTACCCAACGTAACTTATGCCTGCCATTATGTTTATGTAGAAACATAAATTCTTGCCGCCAGTGCACATTAACCACATTTTACCAACATGATTTCACAGGTCTATTTTGTTCTAATGTTAACACATTGACAAGATTAGAAGAAATGCTTACAGCCAGTCAGGAATAACGTTATGTAATGTTAGGCTTGGCCAGTCTAACGTAACGTACTAACCTTACACAACTCACGTAGTTAAGCTAATCGCTGACACCTTAGTTGTAATTTAATTTAATGTAACGTTAATTGATATAAAAACATACCAATTTAGCATTAGCTAAACACATTTTTCTATAAAATGTTTAAAAGTGTAAACAGAACCCTGTTTAAGTAACATATATAACACACCAATGATTATATATTGATTACTTACCGAAAATGCAGAGCTGGATGCAGCATTCAAATGAGTGCATCACGTTCAATCTCCCCGCCTTGGCCCCTTCAGGAAAAAAAGTGTCTGCACATGCGCAGACCGGATAGTATATGGAAATTAAATGAAACGTATTTTTTTCTAATTACTTTTAATTGAATGAAATTAACTTGTTTTAAACAAAAGCAGTGAATTTGAAAATTAATAATAAAAAATAAGTAGGATTAAATAACACATTAAAATCAGTGAAATTAACCAGATAAAAACATGTAACATTTACAAGGGGTCAGAATCATTTTTTTCAGTGTGTGTGTGTGTGTGTGTGTGAGTGTGTACGTGTTTTTGTGACATATCAGGACACAAATCTGTATAATGACAATGAGGGCAATACAATATATGGTTTGGACAGTATAAAATGAATGGAAACCTATGTAATGTCCCCACTTTTCACAAAAACAAACAAGTGTGTGTGTGTGTGTGTGTGTGTGTGCGCGCGTGTGTGTGTGCGCGTGTGTGTGTGTGTGTGTGTGTGTGGGGGGGGGGGGGGGGGGGGGGGTGTGCGTTTTCAGACAATTGTGTGTCCACGATTAAATTTCACAGATTTCATTCGTGATTGTGTGCCAACGTCACCCTTACACATTAACACCGAGATATAAAGTGACTTATTCATTTACAACTCCATTAGAGGTAAGGTGATGAGACCGACAGGTGGAATGAGAAGAAAATAAAATTCATCAAAGAAAACAAGATCATTTAGAGTGGCAGCAAAGGATTCAATTTAATCGCAGTGAAAGTGTTACAGCCTAAATTCCTAATGCAGGCAGCCATTTGACTGCAGTGTGCTGAAAGGATTAGAACAACATTTATATTAATGGCGCATTATAAATGGAAAAAGTTTATATTGTAATGTAAGTTGTGAGGGCAGAGAGCACTGATAAGAATTTTTTGCACTCCTTGTGATTTTACTCTTCAACATTTTTATGCTTCTCAATAAAGTGTCGAAAGAAGAACCAACTATTTCTCTCGAGTGTGACTGCAAGCGCTGGAAATCCCAGATAAACCTCGGAGACAGATTGCCATTTTCAAAAGAAACAAACTGAGACCAATATTTATCAGTCTCCCACGTCCTTCTCTTGGGCTTTATCTTTTAATTGCTTCTAGCCTCATATAAGAAAATACAAATTCAATTTGTGTAACTAGAAGATCCCCGGGCAAGATTTAATCATGTGAGAAAAGCAGATCAAAACAGAAGGTTGGTTGTGGATATAATTCACAAAGCAGAGATAATCTGAGTCAGCATTTTTTGCTGACATTTTAAAAAGAATAGAGGAAACCCTCCATAATTCTCTCTCTCTCTCTCTCTCTCTCTCTCTCTCTCTCTCTCTCTCTCTCTCTCTCTCTCTCTCTCTCTCTCTCTCTCTCTTAGACAAACACATTCACTTATTCACACACAGCTATTTAAATCCCCATCTGTGTAACAAATGGGTGACTAGATTGATCCAGAAAGAAATTAAACAACTTTGGTATTAGCACTTCTCGGATAAAGAATACAAGAAGTTGTATGTGGCTTGGTATTAAATGGATTTGCTTGAGCTGAACTGTTGTTTATTTTAATGAAAATAAATAAATATAAATCTCATGTTCTCTGTATTTACAGTAAATACTGCGACTTTCCACTATTATGTAGCTTTTTTGTAGCCTGTGGCTTTAAATCCAAATGAGCTGCTTCTTCCCGCCCACCGTTTGATAATAAATGGATTTGCTTGAGCTAAATTGCTGTTTTATTTTAATGAAAATAAATAAATATAAATCTCATGTTCTATATATTTACAGTAAATACTGCTACTCTCAACTATTTGCTGCACACCAATAAATGGTAGATCACATAATACAATACTTAGTCAACAATCTCATTTTAGCAAAAAAAAAAAAAAATACATTTACGATTTGTCATTTCAGTTTGCACAATCTGAAGGGTCATGGAATTGTATTATGTCAGATGGGAATTTGCCTAACACTAATCTCATTCTCAATGAATTCATGTTTGTCCAAGTGTGATAAAAGTCAAATTAAATACAAATAAATTAATACAACTATATTTAGAGCTTTAAATCCACATTAATACACATGTTAAGATATATATTCTAAACACATTGTCAGCAAAGGCTTCCTTTACAATAATCAGTTTGACATTAGCTTTCCCAATACTGCAGAAATAATGTTAAAATTTACTGTTTTATTTATTCATTATTATATTCATTTTATTTTCGGCTTAGTCCCTTTATTTATTTATTTGACCATAGCCTCACTCTTTTTATTCATTATTTTGCCGCAGCTCCGCTCTTATTATTTATTGTCTTGCAGCCCCATGAGCAAAATACAGCCTGCAGGGTAATGATCAACTATTATTCCGGCCACACATGCATAACGGCGCCATTGAGGTCCAGTGGTCAGCACGTTGCGTTTCGACGTTGTCGATCCGTGTTCGATCCTCACCTTAGTAATTCTTTTTTTTTCTTTTTTTCTTTTTTATTGTTAAGACATATAAAACTGTAAGGTTGTTAAACATTTGAAGTTCTAAAGCAGCTGTTTTCTTGAAAAAGACGTGAGAGTGTAATTACAAACTGAAATGGAAATGACCTTATTTTAATATAGTCAGTCGTAAACTGAGGTGGGCCGATCTAATGCTTGAAACTCCAGGGCTGAAAAGGAGTCCCACTCCGACCCTGGTGACAGCATATCTTTTTAAGTCATTGTAACGTATTAAACTAAGTTAAATGTTTTCTAAATTAATTTTATGAAGTTGCGCAAGCTGTTTTAAGTCAGTTTTACATAATATTAGTTCAATGGACTTATAAGGGTAATTTGATTCAGCTTAAAAATTTTGAGCAACCATGATTTTTTTACAGTGGGGGAAACACCCTCTCACTTTCACACGCACACACTATGGTCAATTTAGTTTATTCAATTCACCTACAGTCTATTAGTCGTACGAAAATGTGTGATTTTAAAAAGGAGGGGCGGCACCAGACCCACCCCTAAACCCGATTGTCAATGGGAATAAACAAATCGTACTAAATTGTATGATATGGTGCAAACAAAGTGCTTATGCAGTCCTTTTTTACAGTTTGAAACTAGTTAAAATAAAGTTACTTAACTGTAATTTGAAGAGATTTAGAATTTAAAGCAACATTTTCAGGAAAATTATTTCTTTTTCTTGCTTTCTTGTGATTTCTTTTTTTTTTTTTTTTTAAGTTGACGAAAATGTTTGTGAAGTTTCATAAACTTTCATAGTCCCCCCTTCCACCCCATCTCCCCCTTTTCCTCCCTTTTCTATGGGGAGTTTTCGAGACCTATTGTACCTGATATCGGACCCCCTTTATATGTTCATTGACCAGGCGGGAGCCTTGGGCTCAGTTATCTCTAAACTCAGGGTTCTCACCCGGAACAGCATGCCACACCTGCTATTAACGCCAAGCATATCTAAGTGTGAACTCTTGAAACAGTTTTGTCTTAGTCTTCATTTACTAAATTAACCTTGCAGTTTACATCAAAAATATTTTTTGTTTCATGAATCCGCTTAAGTTGTGACATCTGGAATACTGTTTCCTGGTCTAGAAAATTGTCTCTATAGCTGTTTATGACCAAAATTTAGTTGAATCTCAAATTAAAATGAATCATGCATAGGTCTCTCCATCCCAGACACCAATATTTTAAATATTTACAAAAGACACATTGAATAACACTGTGGGTGTACATGATTACAATTTGTTTTTTACCTTTGGAAACTAATAGAGCATTTGCATTCTTGATAAAAATAAACTGCTTCAGAAAAGGAATTAATGCCAGTTTATTAGAGTTTGTTACACAAACATACTGTATTGACATTCTGCCATTTTGCCATGAAGAAGCTGACTCTAGAAATGCAGGTGTAGTTTGGCATGTTACCCCACCTGAAAACATTGTCTATGGAGATTGTACCTGCTAAATATCCCTCGCTGCTTTATTTCTAGTTGTCGACTAAGTTTTCTATACTAAACGTTTGGCCTGTACACCTGTTTCAGATCTTTAAATAGCACTTTTGAGATAACTGTTGCAGTCCACATAGTTTCCTGAAGTCAGATTATATTGGAAAAGCTTTCTCTTAAACCAAGGATAATTTATCAATAGATAGCCATTAAAATGTCCTACAAAAACTGAGGTACATGAAGGCAGACTAGTAAGATAAAGCAATAAAAAAAAAGAGTTAGATTCAAAAAGCCTCAATATGAAGTGTAAGAAGAGCACTGAGACAGCAGGAGGAAGCAGAAGTGATCTGTCACCACCTCACACTATGTGAGAAATCAATAGTCTTGTGCCTTATTTTAAGAGTCTCATACAAAGACACAGCGGAGATTACAGAGTCAATCCTTGTTTGACTCAGACCAGAGCCGGAGGGAAAGTATAAACTGAAATGGGATCTGTGAAATAATGAAGTGAGACAGATCAGTGGACAAAATAATAAATTGCTCATATAAAATTGGCAGATGCAAATCCATTTCTATCAGGGAAACAAATCTGCTTCTGGTGAATGTGACTATTACACCATCGGGGCTCCTAAAATGGTTCATTTACATATGTGATACTGCTGCTTATTATGACTCAGTTTTACCTATTAATTTTCTTTTATTTTATTCTCTACAGGGGCCGTGGTCATTGCTTTTGTGGTGTGCTGGCTGCCCTACCATGCCCGGAGACTAATGTACTGCTATGTCACTGAATGGACAACGTGAGTTTTAATTTAAAAGCTTATTGAAATATCAATAAAGATCAAAGGAAATTTTGCTTTCTCATACCAGACTAGATCAGCTAAGACACAGCATAAATATATAATTTCCCATACTAGCTATTGGTCAAGAAAATTTCCAGCCATTTTTATTTTTTTTTATTGTATTTATGGTCCCACTTTATATTAAGTGGCCTTAACTAATATGTACTTACACAGGAACTAATAGTTTGTTACAATGTATTTATTGTGTAAATACATGTATTTACTGTGTACTTATGCTTCATTAAATACATGTATGTAATTATATCTGTATTTAACTTTTGTAATTACATTTGTAAATACACTGTTGACCATCCCCACACCTTAACCCACCCTTAAACCTACCCATGCCACCAAACCTGTTCATAACCCAACCTCTATCCCAACTCAAAAGCACCACAAGTGTTCTCAAATACATTATAAACACAGTAAGTACATTGTATTTATTATTTGATGTAAGTACATAGTAGTTAAGGCCACTTAATATAAAGTGG